CCAAATTGCTCCTGATGCTGTGTATTGGTGTATTGGCCTTTGTCATCACTTTATGAATGTGGCATGTAGCATACAGTGCTTTGAGCGGTCACGAGACTATAAAGGTGCTGTATTAGTACAGTCTATTCAATATTCCAGGATTAAAGCCATACAGAACAACTACCGGCCATATGTATTACAATAGCCATATAACAGCCTACATGTAAAACACAAAAACCACAAAGGCTACGACCTAAATCCATAACACTGATGAGAACAGAGAGGGGAGATGGAAAGAGAGGACAGCAGGATGCAGAGGGATTGTTTCTGACACTCTGAGCTCAGATGTTACAGTAGTCTCTTCAGCTGACAGGAAAAACAAACATTTGCATAATAGAAGTTTTCAGTTAAGTTGTCCTGGCAACAGATCATATATTTTAGACAACATCAGACTATTTAATATGCTACTAATGAATATATGTATTTATTCGGCATACTTTCCACCGGACATGTTGGCCTTTGATATTTTCATCTGCCCGACAATACATGCGATAGCGGCCAAAGTAAACTCACACAGATATATCTAAGGTAATACCGGGCCGACCTATTGTCCCAGCAACTGTGATAGTATTAAAACACTGTTAAAAAAAAAGAAGAAAAAAAAAAGAAAATAGAAGCCTTACGCTGCTGCAGGTGTGGGCTGCGCAAACACTTCTTTGGCCAGCTTCAGCCCAGGGTTCTTCTTCTTCCCTAAGAGACAAGAAATTAGAAAACCATGACCATCTCAGTTCCAGGATGGATGTACAGCGATCAATAACGCTGTATTTAGCAGCAACCACAAGCTGGTATGATTAGTAGGGTTTTGTGGAAGGACTGAGGCACTCTGAGCCCATTTACCACATTACTCGGAGTGTAGAGCCGAGGTTTACCACAAAAGAGCTCCCAGGTTCTAATTCAGATCATTAAGTGCAAACTAAATGGACTTTTGCTTGTTTTCATGTTTCCACATTGGCCTATTGATAGGGGCTTTTATTCTATTCCTGTAGTATAGTGTTTTCATGGTTGCAATCAATTTACATTTGTCTCTGACACAAACTATAGATAATGATCCGTTATCTAACTGAGAGATTAGGTGTACTCAAAGCGGAGGCCCTGCAACAGAGAGAAGGTGGACTAAATGACTAATAGGCATTGGTATGATGACTCAAATGGAGAGGGAAGGGGAGACGTGTTCAAGGGAATCAAGCTTTCCTTCCTGTTATGATTTTTTACCGTTACAATCACTGCTAGCAAATCATTTATGAATGGGTTTTTTCATGTTTAACTTAAGGTTCACGTGCAAGGGCCTTTTTACATTTCTTATATCCTTCATATGTGAAGTATGGTGCTGTAAACTTCACCTCGGGGACCTTTCTGTGTTAAATCACTGACAGCAGTCCATTCATAAACACAGTTTACCAGCAGCCTCTGGGACTTCCCACAAGGGGCTGCGAGTCCATGCCAGAATGACACAGCTACCAGGCCTACGAGCAACAACACGGGAAAAACAACTCGACTTTTCTTGACACGGGACACTCGTGTTCAGCATGTTCGCGCTTGTTGCAAGGTCGACAGGAAAAACAGAACACTTTTCTTGACCTTTGTCTGTGCGTGTGCTAGCAGTTGGCCCCAATTCTGCCGCACTGGGATATGTTGAGAAACAGTTTAGACCTGGCTGGTTATTTCCTGTTCTTGTCCTGCAGCACACACACTTGGGCCAGGCGGTGTAATTATTCCACCCCAGTTCAGAGAAACTGGTTTAAAGTGCAAGCCAGTCACCTTCACTTTGTAACAAATGCGACAGCTTCTTAGTTAATAAGCAAGAGTGAGCAAGCTGTCAGTTTATAAAGGTAGGATTTTAACTGTCTTTATTACTGTGGGGTTGTGTTTGCCATTGAGTGAGTCACACCTCTCCAGTGTAGAGGAAGTATGATTGGGTAAACCCCTCCTTGCCAGATCAAGCTGGAAGGGAAGTGAGGTTTTACTAAGATTTTAGATTCTATGGCCTTCCACTGAAACGTCAGACAGGTCCATTTTGTGCTGCGGCCCAAAAATAGGCCTACAGTGTCTGGAAAGACTACAGTAGTCTCATGTGGTAGGGAGAGATTGAAGTGTGATTTACTCACACATGCTCAGTCAAAAATAGACTTTGCATTTCCTCTGCGTGGGATAAAGTATGAGCACCCGAAGCCTTCAGATGACCTGACAAGTAAGACAGGTTTTTTTCTCCGTCCAACAAAATAAGGGCAGCACATCTGACATGTCTGACACGTTTTAAAGCTGTTGTTGTTTATATCTGAAAAATGCTTTGCTGCTACAAGACATCTACCAAAACTACACAAAACACATGCAGATTGTAACACTGTGCATTTATAGTTTAAATGAATTGAGCTAAGCATATTTGCAGTGAAGCATTAATGGACTCGAAATACAAGCCAACCCCAGGTTGCAGTGTGTGAAGTGACCCTGTAGCCAGGACTGTGGGGTGGGATGTGACTCACAGCCAGTCAGACTGGACACATCCGCTTAAAAAACACAACAACTGTCAGGGACCCTTTGGGAAATATGATGTCACTTCACTTGGCCCACTTGCTGCTTGCCGTCCCCGTCAGGGCCAAGTGAGGCCAGCCTTCTGCTGCGAAACCTGCCGAGCCCTCAAACTCAGCCCGACAGGACACAACAGAGTCATGACATCAGCTGCAGTCAGAGTATATCGAGGCAGCACAGTGAGAAATACACGTCCACAGATTTTCTCAGAAAGGATCTGAGTGGTAAGTCTCTCAAGGGGAGCTGGTGATGCAGGGTAGCAACCCCTGTGTAATTCATGCCGCTGTCTGTGGTGTATGATGGGATTAAATAATTATAATAATTACGTGATCTGGCTTTATAACCAGGGATGCACAATATGAATTTCTTTTCAGCCGAGATAACAATTACCTGCTTCTCATGGACAATAAAATAACTGATAACTTCACACTTTAGTGTTTTAAAAACAAATCCAGAACCTGTACTTAATGGCAAGAAAGGCTAAGACAGACATTTGCCATTATTGGTGTCGATAATGAATTCATTTTTCTAATCAAATATAGTACAAGTTGCATTTTAGTTTAGCATTTTTATAAAGAGAAAAAAAATCCAGATCTTCCTTCCTTCCACCTGGGAATATGTTTATTAACCTAAAGCATTTCTTATTTTAAGTATTTACCATGGTGTCTCTTAATAAAAATCTACATTTTTGCTGATGCTGTGTTTGAATGATTTGGTTGTATCAGCCACTACAGACAGCAGCAGTAAATTGGTGCAGTTTTACAGGAAACGCTGCAATTCTTAGAAAACCAACGATGTTCAGTGGAAATTATCCAGAGTGCGGTAATACATACGTAATGTGAACAAGAATTTCTGGATTGTGCATGGGATCAAAGTGCCAATAGCTGTGTGGCGAGTCACCATCAGAAAGCCTCCAGCCTCAGAGTGGGTCCATATACAGAAAAAGGATGACTCATGCGCATATAATCTTCCACACCACCCTATCAGCGCTGTTAGGGAGAACCCAATCTCCAAACGTGCCTCAGCAATACGCAGAAACAGCACTGCAATGCACTTAGGCCCGTTGACCACCAAAGGCACAACTCCATACAGTGGCCAGAAACAGAAGGAGAAAAAAAAAAAAAACACTTTCACAAAAGACACCTCGGGCCTGCTTTAGTACACACGGTAATTGCAGCACAGAACCTGTGTAGCAGCTATACAGTCTCCGCTTGCAGCCAGTGAACTGTCAACAAAGAGTGGCTGCACTAGGTATTGGTGGTGCAAGTCAAAACATGCCATGGTAGGCCAAAGGCTGTGATTGCCTGAGCCAATCTACACAGCCCTCTCAAAACAGTGTGTACTCCCGACCATGGTAACGCTAGTATGATTGTGTAACAGCACAAGCGGTGAACTTGAAATGTAAATTGACATCATCATGGTCTCTCTGTGTGTGTGTGTGTGTGTGACGCAGAGAAAGGACCTTGATTTTTCCATAGGTGTGCATTTTATTCAACAGTGTACAGTAATTATTACACAGCACTCACTGACTGACTGACGGAAGCCTAGTGTGTGATAGCGCGCTGGTTCCTTTGGCACAGCCGCCTGTTTTAAAAATAAATAATTTCCACCTCGGATTTATAATAATAATAATAATAATAATAATAATATTTTCAAGGAAGCTGGGCTACTAAAGATATTTTTGCGCTGACATACTGACCAAAAAGGAGCCGACACAATCGATCAGTCATGAGTCAGGAGGCCGAAAAATACAAACACCTGTGGTCCCGATGTGATTTACTTTAACTCGAACAAGCAGAAACTAACCCCAGCGCGGTGATTCCCAACTGAGGGGCAAGTTGGTTAATAATTACAGCTTGGCAAAAGTCCTTTTATTGTCGAGAAAAATGCGTTAGCTAACCACAACACGGGAACTTAAAAAGGAAGCGATGCGCGCGTACCATTTAGCTCAAATATGAACAATAAACCACATTTAGCACGCTACCAGTAGGTGTACGGTGAATACTTTCAGACACCGGGATGTCCAGAAACTTCGCACAATGATAGAAAGCAGGAAAGACATGCTGGCTAGCTTCTCTTTTTTTTTTTTTTCTCCACCTCCTCTCATACATGCAGCTTTCCACCTGGCAAGGTTACGTTTCTCAAACACGGCTAGCTAAATTCCCCCCACGCAAACTGCACCTCGATACTTAAAATATGTGCACGGTTGTTTTCAAAACGAGTGGAGAAAAAAAAAACCCACTTACCTCCTTTAGACAGAGACATTTCCCCTTTGCTTTGATGAGGGGGAAGGGAAGCACAAAGACTTTTGCCTTTTTTTACTCCCTCCCTCCCTGCATCTAGCCTTACACCCGCTCAGGATCGCTGGTTTGTGCAAAACTCGCAGCGTTTAAAACTAAATGGTTGGTCCTCGTGCAACCTCGGTGCTTCAATCAGCAGCTCACGCGCTCGCGGATCGATTGGCGGATGAATGCACAACTTTAACTAAAGTCGGCGCGGCTCGTACACTTCGAGTTAGTTTGCTAACAAAACCTGCACTTTTAGGGTGGCCAAAGTCTGACAGCTGAAGGCGTCAGCGACGTAATGACGTGCTTCCTGCCTCGTGCTAAGCATCATGGGATTTGCTGTTTGCTGTATCTCCTTAATTTTCCCTCTTTCACTCGTCAACTCATCACAAATAATTACCCACAGTAATATCATACGTTATTTCAGCCTCATTAAAGTTTATTTTTATTACAAACATATTACAGACCACCACAGACAGATATTTTTTTATATTATTGTCTTTATTTATTTGTGTGTGTGTTTGTGTGTGTGGAAATCACATACTTGTGTCTTTAAAAGTTGGATCAAATCCATGCGTAGCAATAAATAAGAGAAAAAACTATTGCAGTCAACACTGTCTCGCAACTAGCCTACAGTATACAAAGGAACACTGATCATTGGATTGCATTTTTTTTTTTTACACATTCTGGTATGTAAACAACAAACATGTATATAGGTGTATGTCAAAGGATATAAGTGCATTGAACTAAAAATCTATATTTGCTGAATAGCGAAATGCATAAAATTAATAGCAAGAACATTTATTTTAAAGCAAAACTTACTTACTTAACTACAGTAGCCTACCTATGCAAACAACATTAACCATCACATAGATTTAATAAATTCAAGGAACAAACTGACGGACTATAAAATACCTGAACAAATACAACACGGTGAAGTGTTTTTTTTGTTTGTTTTTTCTTAGTATGAATGAAAACCCTCTGTCATTATTGTGATAATCCCTGCTGAGCTGTTAAATTGTGAGTCCTTTTTTGTACCCAACACCTCCTTGTTAAATAGCTGGAAGACAACACAATGCACAAACTACTCAACAGTGGAGATGTCACAGACTTGATGCATGAACATGTGCTGTGATATGAGTTTACTTATGTGCATGTGATTGTGTGTTGGAGGGTGGATGACTGATGGTGAGGACACACCAAATTCCTGCCTTTACTTCCTGGCAACAAGGAGGGTATGGTAAAGAGGTTTTATTACAATGTGCAGATAGAGGGAGCTGTCAATGAGATACTCTGATGCACGGCGCTGCAGGTCAGCATCCAGCAGGAAATCCCCGGCCTCCTCTGTGCTTTGGTGGAAGTTGTAGACGTGGCGAACCACCACTTTTCCTTGCTGTCTTGCCATCACAATGACCGTCTTCTGGAAACTCACGCCGGCAAAGTCTGGGCTAGAAGTGGCTGGTGTTACAATGATGCGAGGTCGACCACCGTCTGTGCGCGTAGGCTGCATGGCACCCAGTTCGGTATAGGTTGACCTGGCACTGAGTGGGAGCCAGCGAGGGGAGAACAGGGCATTCCAGGTCACTCTCTTGCTGGAATCATGGCCGCTGGGACCGAGCTGGGTCTGGAAGCTGAAGCTACGGTCATCGCGGGTGGGGTTGTTGATGACCCAAGGCGAACCCCAGGAAGAGGACAGGTAGTTGCGGGGAGTGAAAATACTGCAGTTGACATCAAAGTACTTGGCCAGTTGGATAGGTGAGGCGGAGTGAAATTGGAAAGCTAGATAAAGTAGATCGCGGATAGACTCGTAATACTTCAGCATGAGGGGGGATTGCTTCTGAAGACGGAAGAGGTGCTGAGGGGGGATCATGCCGTATCGAACAACCCTTAGGGCACTTTCTACTGTTGCACTGACAGGCTGGTTCTGGCTAATCCAGGCCTCCAGGGCCTCGTACAGCTCCAGCTCACTCTGTAGAATGAGGTCAGAGCGCTGGAGCAAGGAGAGGAGCAGGTCTTCACTGATGGAGCCCCATTCTTCGCTCTGCAGCACAGAAGACAGGTTCCAGGACAGGTACTGCAGGCAGCTGTCCCGCAGGGCCATGTCCCCAATTTGTAGTGCATAGTTGTACCAGCCGACTACATGGCCTGTGGATGAATCACTAGAAAGATGTTGGGACATATACTGGGTCAGACCCTGTTGCAAGCCCCACACATGGTACTTGCTGGCCAATTTGTGCAGAGATATGGCCTGATCCAGGCGCACTGAGATGTCACCACAGTACAGATACCTGCAAGAGTAAGTAAAGTCAGTAAAGCATACGATTTTTTGAAGCTTGTTTTCTCTCCTCACATCTGAGTCACCGAATAAACCCACACTGTCCGATTTCTGACTGTGAGCCGAAAACAGCAGATGTAATTTTAGAATATTTCAAAAGATGGAGCATCTCACTCCTCCAAAGGAGAGAGGCAAAATGGTGAGTGAAGACCTATAACTTTATACTAGTGGAAAATACAATAGCATCTACAAGTAGCTCCACAGTTTCTTGAAGGGTTACATTTGATTGAACCGGGTGAACTCTGAAGAAATGATAACAACCGGAGTCACCCTCACCTGACAAATTTGTCAAAGACAGCGGCACAGTCGGGCGTTTCCCTCAAAACCACAGCGCTGTTGTTGCGGCTGAGCAGCAGTTCCTCAAACACGTCACTCTGCATTGTGAGAACCAGGCTGTGGGCCTGGATCACCTTTACCTCGTCCGTGTTGATGGTCTGCACCCGGAGAGTGACATCACTGCCATTCCCCAAGGCCAGCAGGGTCTCCATACGCTGCACCAAACTCATGGAGTGATTCAGCACCGTGGCCCCATTGTCCAGTGCCACGTCCTGCTTCAGGGCAGCTGTGGAGAAAATAGTGCAAGATGATGGATAGGTAGCACTTAACAGAAACACAATCACTAAATGCAGAAGAAATTTACTTTGGAATTGCAGTTATATTATCAACCTTTTGTGAGATTTCTTAAATTCACCTCTAAATTTGAAAAGTACCATACATTCTTTCTTAGTTCTTATTCATCACCATAATCGTCATCAACTCTGACTCAGAACTCATGCGCATTTGTTCTACAACTTAAAACAGATTTTACTCAGCAGGAACTGGAAAAGCACTCCCTAACTCTTCGAATAAACCGCAATGTGTCAGGAAAAAGCCGACTTGCACATCCTTCTATTCTTCTGGTTTTGAATGAATAGAGAAAGAGAGTGACAAGCCAGGTGGCTGACTCAGAAAACCTCCGGTACCAGGTGCTCAGAAAGAATCCTGAGTTTGCAGCGCCATTGCAGATGGTTGCTTCTATGACTTCTATGCCCTCTTGTGCATAAGTACAAGTGGCGCATACTGGAGAATCACACATGAAAGACTCAGCATGAGAAGCTACTGTTTCCATTCTGATCTGCCACAGCCATCAGTGGCCTATTACTGGGGATTTAATGAGACACAGGGGGAGCACACTTGGCTCCCTGGAATGCCTCACAGTCTTCATATCTTTACCACAATCAAGCACCCCCACTTCAAAGTAACCTTTTTCCAATTAGTCAGCCAGCACCCTGAGCCAGCTGAGCATGGTGAAGCATGAGAGGGAGTGTTTTGACAAATTATTCTGGCACAGCGTAACAAATTGAAAAATCACCATATTCATTATAACTGGGGAAACAGTACATACTATCTGTTACATTAAAACAAATGTGACAGATTCAATTCAAAGTAGACCCCCCAAAAAAGTTATGAATAAATCATGTTTCACTGTCTCTTCTACTCAAGCTGAGAAGAGCTAAAAACATTAAATAAAACATTTTATACACAGTCCCTAAATATAAGATTAGATGAGTGCTCACGAGGAATTTCAAATGAAATCTAACCTGACAGCACAGGAATGTGGCCCTCAGTAGATTTGGTCAAAATCAGTCAGATCAGATCTTTTAAGGAGTAAAAAAATCCTTTCTTCGCCGGCACAAAGCCAGGCAGCAAATGGACTTGCCTGTCTTTCTCTGCACCTAGCAGACAGATAGATGAGGGCAGAATGAGTAGAATAGATAAATACCCGTCCCCTGCCCCGAGGCTGAGTGCGAGCCACACATTCATGCTGTGCCCTACTATCCACTGACAGTATGGGGGAAGCTGGACTAAAATAGAACAATACAGCTTCTCTTACAGTGTAGGATATAAAAAAAGGTGCAAAAGTGACCTGACTCTTTGCAAGCAAACAATTCAAACTACTGATTTGTTATCTTACCTCCTCTAACTGTGACAGAGTGGAAGTGGATAAAGAGGATCAAGGTGCCCACATAGACCCAGGCAGGGATCCCTTGTTCACATGAGCGTACCATTTCTTCTCAGTTATTCCCTGCCTCTCTTTCCTTTGTCCTTTCCCCCTCTCTTCCTCACTCTGTGCCACTCTTCTCCTGACTCTTCTTCTTGCTGCTGTGCCTTTGTTGTGTGCGCGCAGAAAGGTGTGTTGCCCCGTGTGTGTCGCCCGGCTCCCTGTCCCGCACTCTTTATGTAGGACGCTGGCCTTTCCCTGGCGCATCTCGCAACCCCACGGGCTCCATTGATTGGTGGAATCTGGCAGGGGCGTTGCTATAGCGACAGCTTTGATTTTGAATTTCTCCCTTTTGGATGTTACATGGCATTGATCAGCGGCACCGGGCCAGCCAGGGACTCAGCTTAATGGTTTTTTTTTTTTGTTTGTTTTAAAGTCAGAGGAGTTAGGCACTATTAACAATCAATATTAACACAGTTTCATGTTTTAATGGCACCCAGAATGCAGCAGATCACTGGACTGCAACATTTTATTTATAATATCTAAGTTAGATACAATCAGTGCCATATAATTAGTCAGTTAATTACAGTAGGTTGCCACTGAGACTATCTGCCAAAAGTAATTGAAGTTCTAATATGTGTGTCCAAATGCAGTCAATCAAACTTCATAATCCATTTTGTTGGACAGTTTTTCAGCTGAGAGCAATTACTTCTCTGATGGCATGTTAATCTCACTAATGGGAAGATAATTTCATTGGTGTGGGCTCTGCTCATCAATCTAAGGCGAGCTCTGTGTATTAAATTCAACTGCCAATCAGGACTTTGTGTAATCACATTACTGATGAATAAAGGTATTTTTTAGTTATCCATGTAAAGTAAGCTTGCGTAATTGTCACATGTAGTCAAGCATATGCTCAACTGTTTTCAGGTGCAGCCGTTGCATCACACACCTTACAGAGGGCAGTGGGTTTAATGAAAAGGTGTGATACATGTTGCAGCTGGATAGGGAGCTAATGGTCTGCTGCTTACAGGAAACATACTATGATAATCAATACGAAATGCTTTAACGACTCAAAGTGAACAAAGTCGCATGACAATCACACATTAACATACAGGAGCTGGGATACAACAGAAGTACATTTCAATGTGAAATGGCAGCAATGGTGGCACATAATACACAGCGCATTCATGACCTCGGGGCTCACAAATATGTTTACAATGCCATTTATATGATCCCTCAGTTAGCATCGATCTGTCAGTCTGGGGTGGGTCGGTCAATACTGAGATACCAGTCAAAATTTCCCCAAAAGATAAGCTCAGTATGGATCTGATTTTGTGTTTTCTTTTAATGATTGCATCTGACTAGGCCATTAGTCCAATCACAATATTTATACTAACATGCTGCTATGTGACAAATATGTTTAAAATAGCTCCAAATCTGCCATGCCCACTACAGAGAGACAGACAAGGAAAGACATCATTTCAGAGGGAATTGGGTTGTGGTGAAGCCCCGAGGGCTGCCAGGCTGCAGTAAAAATGCAGGAGAAGAGACGTCCTTCGAGACCCCAACCTAAGCCACTGCTATGAATAACCTGACAGGTTCTCATAGTAGAGCGGTGCTGCTGAGATGCCCTAATGATGCCTGCTGAAACAAACTGGACGAGACAACCTAGTTGAGGCAGCATCTTCTATTTTATTTTAATTCTTTTTTTTACTTTTTGCTTGTGGATACACAAATAAGATTCATGAGCTTTATATGAATGCAATAAACCTATATGGATGCAAATACTTAGACTTGTGTTAACTTTTTGCTCTACCTAACACTGTATTCCTATATATATATCATATTGGTTCATAGCTTAAAGTATAGCTGTATACTAAAACACAATTCAGACAACTATTGTTTAGCTACACAATGAAAGCAGAGCCCTCTTAATGCATCGGAAAAGGGCATGCCCTTCATTAAGGTCACATTGCTTTCTCCTTTGAGATCAGCTCCTATTAAGAATCTGCTCACAGGACCACAATGCAAAGGGACGGATCGACGAGCCGCTAGATTTGTGAGAGCACCCCTCAGGACGAGATCCATAGAGGGATCGATGCACCACAGGGGGCTCCATCGCGCAGTATAAACAGTATGTTTAGTACAGGCTAAATGCCAGAGTTAGCTTCAGCAAGGTGTCCTGGATGACCTTACTCTTGTGCTAGACCCGGAGGGGATGCTCTAGCTAATCAGTTCCCTGAACCATGACACACAGTGGCTTTTGATATAAACCCACATTTTATTTGTCGAATGCATCAAGTGACCATGAATAAAACAAACAAAAAAGGAAAAAAAAACACACATCTCACTACTTAGAAATTCAGTTTAGCGTCTGTATTATTAGGCCTATTTGATTTCATTGTGACACTCACTTTCACAACTAAAGAAGAAAGAGAGATGAGTTTTGTGACTTTAAACTGTAGATACAAACAAGCAGACAGAAAGAGGGAGATCAAGTGTAAATAAATATACTCCTTAGGAGACTTTATTCTGCTCTTATACTGTATTCTAATATATTCTCTAATCTGACAGAATGCTGCAGTAACTAAAAAGTTAGTTAGCAGTGTATGACATTTAATACATATTTTTATTGGCACAACAACAAAAATGTACTGACAATGTTTACAATGTTACATGTGCCACACACACAAAAAAACATTGTTCATCAATATTTCTCAATTTTACTGAGCATTTAAAATCTTAAAATCAATGGCATCTGTCAATGTTCCTATTAATCAAATGGTTGTTAAGTGTTTTCGGCCTTCGACAGATCAATAACAAGATCTATTTGGTTGTGTAATCTGTTGTGAAAAGTCCATCTCTCCTGTAACAATATTTTCCACCAGGTGGCTCTGCAAACTGGATACACACTCTCCTCCCTGATGCTGACTATTCTGAAGTGCTTATAGCTTTAATAGAGAACACAGACTCTGATTGACTGTTTGATCATATTTCTCAGCCTGTTAGTGTTTATGTATTAAGTATTAATCTATCTAGTGTGCGTGCACTACATGGCATTTATTAGAGTCGAATAATTCTCAAATTAAACTTTATGCAGACCTATTTTTTCGTCTGTTAAACTGAAAGTGGGCCAACTTAAAAGGCAACTGCTGTATTTGCAGCAGCTGATCATTTTATAAGAAATCACCTGCAGGAGACTAATCAGAAAACCGATGTAATCACTAAACCCGTGAAAGCCATTAATCATCAATCACCAATGCGTTTGAAATTAAAGTATTTACATGTTAAACAGGTCACAGACCATGTTACATAGCCAGTATAAAGGCCTACAAGCGGAAACGTCTCACTTGAGAGGTGAGTGGTCCCTTTGTTTGGATGTAAGCTGCCTGAAACAAATAAGCAGGCTGGATGTTAATCTCACAGAATATGCAAAGCTGCACACCATAGAGGTTGGGTTAAGAGACAGAGGGGATAGAGAGACTGTCTCTTCACGGAATTATAGTAACCGTACTGCTCTGATGTGACTGCCGGTGAGTCTGTTATAACATGGTTGACCACAGAAGGAGTGGGCAGATGGAGGACTGTCCATGATCCCCGCCCGGACTAACTCGTGGATCCATTAAGTGCATATCTGGATGCTTTGGAAATCGGTCGAATGATCTGTCAGGAGCCTGATAATACTCGAAACAACAACTAATATTACAGGGCAAGGCAAAGTTTTGTGTTTTTTCTAAAGTGGGTTAATCTCACCGGACTAAATCTACCTGAGTCACCTGTTGGAGCTGTGTGTCACTGTCATCAGTGCAGGTAAGAAGTCACTACAGGCTGTAATATTACTCTAATGTTTTAAAATCATATTCAGCCATATACTATTAACGTGCTTATGTAAAACTGATGATAACGATTATAGCCTCGGGCCTTTTGCGTCCTTCATTCATTTAATTTGAAGATTGTATTCAACTTTATAAAGTTGAATACAATCTTACAATGAGATCAAACTGTATTTGATCACCCAATGACTCCAATATATATGGGAATACTGGGAATACTCATTATGTCTCCTGTTAAAATGTTAAAATGTTGTCAAGATGCAAATTAGATGGTGTAGCAATACGGCTAGACTGCGCTGGGAATATAACATGACTCTATGCTGTAATTAAAGACAGGGGAGACAATTTGTTGGATTCTTCAGAGACTCAAATGTATTTCAACGGGAAGCAATTTTAGGTTAACAAAGTAAGACAGAACAGTATGTTGATGGTTTCTAATTATACTCGCTGGGCGACAGTATTACGTCAATGGTTGGTCTTTGCATTCCTATTTTAATAATGAAAATAAAATAGTGTGTAACTATAGTATCTGAATGAATGCTTAAATAATCAGGGTATTTTTTAAACCTACAGTGAAGCCATGGCCAGTGCCCCAAAAGGATGTGGTTCCAGTATCAGCTCCATATATTACAACCTGTGTGACCTGACTACAGTGTGGGGGGTCGTGGTGGAGGCCGTTGCTGCTGCAGGTGTGGTGACTTCCTTTCTCCTGTTTATCATTCTCATGGCCTCGTTGCCATTTGTAACAGACAAGAAGAGAAAGGGTATGGTGGCCCTGCAGGCGGGCATTCTGATCTTTACTCTGGGACTCTTTGGACTTTCTTTTGCCTTCATTGTGGGCCGGCACTCCACTAGCTGTGCAGCACGGAGGTTCCTCTTTGGAGTACTGTTTGCAGGCTGTTTAGCCTGCCTAGCAATGCATGGGTTGTGGCTCGCTCTGCTGCAGCGGCGAGGCCGGGGGCCCAGGAGCTGGATGTTATGCCTGGGAGCCATGGGTCTGTGGCTGGTTGAGGTGATCATCAACACAGAGTGGCTTATCATCACTATGGTCGGGAGCCCACCCAGAGATGTCGTTATCCCTGACCTGTCCTGCAACATTGCTAACCTGGACTTTGTGACGTCTCTGATCTATGTGATGGTCCTGTTGATAGCTGTGGTGCTGATGCCTGTGCCGTCACTGACACACAAGCACAAGCAGTGGCGCCGAGATGGAGCTTTCATCCTGGTCACAGGGCTCCTCACCTTGGCTATATGGGTAGCTTGGGTTGTCATGTACATCTATGGGAACAGAGTGGCTGGGAATGACACCTGGGACGACCCTACTCTGGCTGTAGCTGTGGTGTCAAACGCCTGGGTGTTCCTATGCCTCTACACCATCCCAGAGATCTGCTTACTGACCCAGGAGGACCCAGATCAGGAAGAGCCACATGATGGAGATGTTTATCCTGCCAGGAGCATGGTATATGACAACATCCTGAAGGAGCTGGAGCCACCCCACCAGAACGTGTACATGGAAAATAAAGCCTTTTCTATGGATGAGCCTCCAGCAGGTACAGCATGACACATCATGGTCTTACATGGTCTCACTGCGCTCAGCCACATTATGTCTAGATGGGTGCTGAATCCTCAGAATCAGAAATCTAAATCAGCAGAAAACAGTCACACCAATTAAATGATTTATTTGTGCTCATACGATTCCAACCAAGCACAGGTGAGCTATATGACATAATGAGGCGCTACAGTGTAATGGGAGGTACCATTACTCTGCTGTTTCCTCTAGTGGCAAAGGAAAAGATTGTGACATAATTGGCAGATTACTATTTCTGTTGTTGACAAAACAGCAAAAATGTTGCTGCTATTTGTTAACCTCTCTTTTTGTTAGAATAACAACTTGCAGCATGTTCACTGTAATTATTTGTCAGTATAACCATTGTCATTGTTCCTCTCATACAGTTTTTTAGTTTTTGTTAAAATGGAGGAATATTTTTAATTTACAGTCTTTCTTCAGTTCTTGTATGCAGGGCCAATGCACAAAATTCTGGACCCTGTGCATAGACCCCTTCCCACATCCAGAGCTATCCATTCTAGTATCTTTGTTGGCCCTCCACACATGAGGGCCCAACTCAGTCTCCCTTTTAGAGAACATCTTCACCAGTTTGACAA